ATTTAAAATAGTTGATTATTAAAAAGACGTTTCCATAATGCCTAATTTTGTGGAGGGAATGAGAAAACTGTTAACTTGTATTTATTCTGCCCCTATATAATAAAAGTTTGCTTTAGTGCACGCCTTAGATTGTAAAGTGGCAGAATGAGCCAAATCGCGACCGAGGGGGCTGCGTGGACCCCAGAGGAGTCAAATGGCTCCGGTTGTCCAAAAAGTTTTGATTATTTGTATGGTCCTACAACACCGCAATATATAATGCCTTTTTCAAATAGTATTCTAGACTCGATAGGCTCAAAACCTGAGGTAGAAAGGCAAAACGGCGAGAAGAATATCAAATGCCCCTTAATATGCTCAGACTTAAATGTAACCTGCCTCACACGGTGCAGCCTCAAACAGATTTGTTTACTCCTATTAACAGTATATCTCCATGCTACTTTTTTTCCTGAGTAAGAATTTATGCGCCTTCTATAAACCTTCCACTATCAAAAATACTCGTGTGGAAATTATTGCGAAATTATTGCCTATATGAATACATGGCTTCATGGGTGAAGAGAATTTTCTTTGTTGCATGGAATTTCAATGAAAATGTAACATAAGTCCTACAAAGTTAGCCCTTTGAGCTAATAGTTATACTTTCGGCTCATATTTGCTCAAACAAATAAGGACAAGATGCATTGATGAAGTTGTGCATTTCAACTTTGGTTGTTTCTTTCCATCCTGGATTTTATGGAAACGCAGTTTACAGTGTATAAAGGGTTGAAGACCTAGAAGGAAGAAAAATCCTGTATTAAGCTAGATGCCCCTAGTGCAGAGACGAGGTTAATAGAGACGACGCAGCACAACATCGTGCCGGCTGTATTAAACTTCCACTGATAGTAAGGTTAGGATGATAGCTGCAATGCTACAATGCAGGTCGCATGGACGTGCAATGAACTCGGTGCACACTTGTTATTCAGGCAGCATCAAAATTGCGCTTTAGCAATCAGACAGCGTTTTGGCACCTCTAGAAGTTTAGGTACCTTAATCAAAGCAAATCTTTTAAATACTTTTTTCCTCTTTGCGTCTTTTTCTCATTTAATATTATAAAAGTAAGGCAAAATTTGTACCACTGCCTATATATCACTCCGTTTTGCTTCACTACCCTTCAGCTAGCACTGGCCATCCACTTTCACCATAAATTGGACCACGATTGTAGTTGGCATTATTGCTATGGTGTTTTTTTTCACAGGC